GCATCGTCGCCTGCGAAGCCGCTCTTACACATACCCGACCCGTTGTCGACGACCACCGCTGAAGCCTCTTCGTCCACCATTTCGAAACTTACTACAATCTACAAACCTTCAAAGAGAGGGAAAATGCATTGCGCATAAAGTTGGAATGATGCATTTGTTATATATCTTCTTAGAACGTTATTGGATAATCTTAAGATTCAACGAGATTGATTAATAAAGTTTTGAGAAGATCAACACTGAATCTACCAAGAATAAATCGTATTGTCACAATCATTTCATAAAAAAAGAAAAAAGGATACATTATTCCAACTTTATAGGCATCAGTGTAGTTTGTATAAATAACTGAAAGACTGTGAAATTTGTAGAGGTGATAGTAGTGATAAGTGTTATTATAAGTTAGACGAGACGCAAATTGTTGTTAACGAATATTGAAAACATTAAGGAATGATCTTGAAACTTTAAGGAACAATGGATATTTTAGGTATTTAAGGTGTTTTTTTAAATTTTGTCCACCAATTTAAAAATCCATAAAGTACAAGTCTTCAAAGAGGGAAAATATTAATGTGGTGTTCTTTTCTATTAGATAATAAGATTTCCAAGATGCTTTTAAGTGTTAAGGTATACGAGGTACATTTTGTTTAATTGAAAATTTCGAGGTACTTTGGAGAACAAATTACATTTTAAATATTCTGAGGCCTTCAATGTTATGTTAGTAGAAATACGAATTGTTGTTCTAAACGAATATTGAAAATATCAACTTATTTTGGAGAATAATTGACATTTTCCCTCAATTTTATCCACCATCTTGAAAATCTATAATCTGCAAATCTCCAGAGAGGGAAAGCAAAGGAATGGTGTTTTTTTTTTAACGTAGACAAAATGACGGTAAAGAAATGTTAGAGGACTCAAGTATTAGGCTATGTGAGATGATATTAAAGAGGTCGACATTGACAAATATTAAAAACATTAAGGTACAAAGCTATACTTTTAAGAACAATCGATATTTAAAGCAGTTTAGTGCTTTTTAAAATCCATTTAATCCACCATCTTGCAAATCTACAATCTACAAATCTTCAAAGAGGGAACTCAGATTATGCAGTATATCTTGAACAGAAGTAAATAAAATGACAGTGAGAAAATAAAGACCTCGTTGTGTTATTTTAGACTGAGTGCGTTTTTTGAAAGTTAGGTAATATTGGAAATATCAAGGTCTTTTTGAGAAGAATTTTTTTTAAAATTAGGTTCGATTTTTTAAAAATAACTAATGAAACCCCTTCCGAATGGAATTCAGTTTACCTCATTATTCATGACTTTGTAATTGTGCATCGGATGCTTTACAGTAAGGCCATGTATAATAATAAAAACAAGAAAAAGATAAACAAACATAAGAATGACGTAAATTGTCACATAACCATGTTTTTTTAAATGGAGAAAACTGCTCGAACGGGCAAAAGAAAAGAAAAACGATCACAAAGACTTTCGGAAAATCACCTCAGGGGTAATTTCAGTAGTACTCTATTTGTAATCCCATAGCGATCTTATCCGAATACGCCATTGTTATGTTCACACATTTCAATACATAGTGGACATTTTATTGAAATTGCCCTGTGTTGATTTTTCGAAAGTTTTTGCGATCGTGTTACTGCAATAAATATACAGAATAATTGACATGATAATTATATACTCACTGATAACGTTTGATGAAAGAAATATCCAAGACGATTCTCCAAAGGTAAACTCGAAGAGGAATGAAAGTCGGACTCGAGGCCAGGGCAGCAACTCCTCCTCGACTGCGAAGTGGTGGAAGCCCAGAAAAAATGGAGGTGCGGCCTCTTTATATAAGGCATTATAGGTGTCGGGTGTGAAACTGTCCACCAGAAATTATTGTCCACGTTACTGTCCACGCTGTTGTTGTTGTTTTTGTGAGGATCGAATTTGGAGATCTCTCTTCAGTTTTTGTAATGAGCTGATGGATGAATTTGTGGAAGGGTGGTTTTCTTTCTTCTTTTCTTACTTTCTTGCTATAATAGTCTTTCAATTATTTTTTATATCAATTATTATGATTATTATCATTATTGTTAATATTATCATTATTATCATTGTCATTTTTTGTATTGTTATTATTATTATTATCATTATTATTGTTTTTGTTGTTGTTGTTGTTCTTCTTGTTGTTCTTCTTGTTGCTGCTGTTGTGATCGTTGTGATTTATATCCATTATCATTATCCTCCTTCTCCTCCTTCTCCTCCTCATCATCATGATAATCATCATTGTTGTTATAGTTATTGTCGTTTTTTATCTTTATTTTCTAAAATTTAAATTTACATTAAGTGTTCATTTGTAGCAAAAAATTGGGAGTAAAAGAAGTAAAACCATATTTTAATTACTTTGTTCGCAAGAACAAACTTATTATCCTAATAAACATATGCATTTACAACATCTGAGATCATTAATGATAATTATTAACAAATTCGTCATTATACAAGCAATTAACAAAATAAACTATAATGATAACATAAACAATATTGCTGCATAAATCATAAATATTGCAACATGTGATTTCACAATTTAGGGCGCCATTTCTTTCTTTCTTTCTTTCCCCTTTTTGTTAAAGGTAAAAAGAGTTCGCTGACAGTCCCAAGTCCAATTGTTTGGAGAAATCAAGGTACTTGGTTTTTATGCGGTCGGTTTTAGCGCCGACATTAACTTGAAAACCCCTCGCTTCATCATATTCCCCGCCAAACAGAGGTGTTTGACGAACCACATTTCTGTGAAACGTGATCAGAAAATCTCCCCTAATAGCTACGTTGTTGTATCAACGGTCCATTAATAGTCGCAGAAATAAAAACTCTTTTCAAGGGCATATTCATTTCTTGATACATGGGAAACAGGAGAGTTTGATTATCAACAAAATTACAACGCTAGACTCTTTTCCAGCCGGTTCAAACATTTTGTATTTGACAACCCATAACCTTCATTTCCCTGTTTAAATTCCATTGGATCTTGAATTTGTTTTTGGTTGGTAATTTCTTTATTGCTTTAAATTTCGGACTCCATAAGGTTCATTTTCTGACACTGATTTTTTTTCTCCATGAGTTTGAAAAATTTGAAACAGAATGCGGCACCCAGTACAAAACATACCGCTCCTTCTCATCGGCTTGCCTCTTACTTTAATCATTCCAAATTCTTCACATATTTCTCTCTCCATTTTCACGATCTTCGCCTCCTCCCCAGCCTCTTTATTTCACATACCGTTCGGAGTAGATATTTGTTCGAGTTATAGCAGCAAATACAGAAATACCCCTTTCATGAGACAATAAAGTCATTTTTAAAAGGATTTATCAGCCGGTGACAAAAAAAAAGCATTCTCCACCCCCCCCCCCTATTTTAATTTCGCCCCATAACGTTCGCCTTCCCCAAATAGTTCTTCTTCTCCTGCCCCATATTACTACTACTACAACTACTTCTACTACTACTACTACTACTACTACTACTACTACTACTACTACTACTGCTACTACTTCTACTACTAATAATATACTACTACTGCTACTACTTCTACTACTACTACTTACTACTTTACTACTACTACTTCTACCAGTACATGTAATAATATAATAGCGTGTTATATGCTTTTAAGCGCTTTACTAGTAATACCCCAGCATTATCCGAGCTACCATGATAATGCAAACTGGCATTTGAAAAATTTCTTCCTACAGGTAACCCACTTACATTACCTGGGTGGAGAGTGACAACATGTACATTAATATCCGAGTTGCCTAAGGGCTTTAGTGCCGCACGGCCGGAATCAAACCACGAACTATGTGATCCATACTCCGGTGACGTACCCGCTAGACCATTACACCTCTACATCATTTCCCTCATAATTCTCTATATCTCCGGTCATCGTCCATAACTCTTTGCCCGATTTGCCAGAGGAAAAAAAACAAATTCGGCAAAGGTTTTGGCTTGAGACTAACCTCAACTGATGAATCGGGCCATTAAGTATTTCGACATTTTTGACAGGTTATGGAATGGTGTCCATAATTAGCTAGTTTGGGGAACCCAGATGTGCATTGTTTTAATCGCTTTCTAATTCTGTGAGAAGCTCTTCCGTGACACTTATTCTCTCACCCGTTTCATCTTTATTTCTGCCCCCCTCTCTCTCTCTCTCTCTCTCCCGTCTCCTGTATACAATGGCATACGTACATGTAGGCCTATAATATAATTCTGTGAGAAGCTCTTCCGTGACACTTATTCTCTCACCCGTTTCATCTTTATTTCTGCCCCCCCCCTCTCTCTCTCTCTCTCTCTCCCGTCTCCTGTATACAATGGCATACGTACATGTAGGCCTATAATATAATTCTGTGAGAAGCTCTTCCGTGACACTTATTCTCTCACCCGTTTCATCTTTCTTTCTGCCCCCCCCCCCACTCTCTCTCTCTCTCTCTCTCCATCATATACATTGTATTTATTCTCTCTCTCTCTCTCTCTCTCTCTCTCTCCCATCTCCTGTATACAATGGCATACATACATGTAGGCCTATAATATAATCTTGCATTTTCTCATTCTCTCCACCTTTCTCTATTACATGGGCATATATTTCTCTCCTCCTAATCTAGATAAATCACATACAATACATGTACACCCTTATATACACACCCATACATACCCCATTACAAACTGTACATGTATATAATATCTCCCTTTTCTCTGCTCTCAAATTCTCAATTTCTCCACTCTTCTTCTGTGTTTTTCTCATTCTTTCTCTTCCCCACTTTTCCTTCTATCCATCTTTCTTTCCCCCTCTCTCTTAGAGTCTTTCTTTAGTCATCTCAAATCCCTTCCGTAATTCCGATGACTACGTCTTTCATTCCAGTGTAATAAATGTATTTTATTATGTTTAAACTTTTTATAGCTTGTATGTTTTTTGTTTGTTCTTTACTTGCAAACAGTAAGCATACAGACATAAATCATGAAGTAGTTAAAAACAAACATCTTGAGTTGCATTTTCAGCCTTTATTATATCAAAAGATAAAATTATTTCATAATAGAAGAACATCTACACAGTATTTGTTTCATGTAATCTTTGAAATCTTATTTCCTACTGGCATCAATCTATTAATATAATTATGCTCATGTTTAGGAAAGAGAGAGATATTGGATATCAAGGCTTGAGGTACTCTAGGCGCTCAAATATTACCTCGGCTCTAACTAGGATACCGATTTTGATGCACACAACATTCAAGGAATGAATTCCTACCAGTATTTAACACCCGGGTGGAGAGTGGCAGATTAAGATCAAGGCTTGCCAAAGGACACTGGTACCAGGGCTTGAACCCATGACCTTCACAACTTTAGTCAAGTGTTTAAACCACTCGACTAAGACACCTTAACGCTCTTTACAGTAAATTGTAGGCAACATAAATTATGCCTAAATGCCTGATATAAGTTGCAATGATATTTCAAGAAATAACAGTATCAATTTATTATCTTGGAATTTAAGTAATTTTACTTGTGACCAATGTTATGTATCTGTGGATTCTTTCATTTCACCTTATATAATATGTTTACAAATTACTTGGGCCACCTACCACCATTACACATAACATATTAGGAATAAGATCTATTTTGTATACTTTTTTTTACACAGAAGTTATACATTATTGTAAAGGACACAAACTAAGAATCATTTCTCCTAAAAAGGATATTATGAATGGTTGACAAATATGGTTTAGCAAAAACTTCAATTTGCTTTTTAAAGTGTTTTCAAAATCCTTGACACTGAGAAGGCCCTCATTACTCAATCAAATGCTCCTTCATTTAAACAGGGCTCAACATCAACAGAAGCCCGGGACACATGGGCACCCAACATCTAGGTCTGGGCCCTAACAATGTCAAATGTTTATATTTGGTACATGCATATAGACTCTAAAAAGTTATATCCCGACTCCTTTTCACACCTGTTAGTGTGGAGCCCTGATTTAAAGGATTTTATTCCTAATAGTAACATGCTATTTCTTTTCAGCAAAAGTCTAAAAGTACTTATATACAATAAACTAAAAGCACCACGATAGCCTTCAATATATATGATTCAGAAGTATACTTCATAAGTATATTATGAATCATTCATATATTATTTTTTTTAAAAAGGGGGGGGGGGGACATAACGTGCATTTCAATAAGTTACAGCATTATCAATCACGAGGTATCATCATTTGCAAATGTCATGCTTACAGGGAACAGGTATAACACATATTTGTAAAACATTAATTTGGTCTTGATTAAAATGATAAATAATTTATAACAAGTTAACAACACATCCATTCTTTTCATTGAATGGGAAAGTACCGGTAAGTGAAAACCAAGTATTAATCAAGTATTAAAGCCTCACTGCACTATTAATAGCTACTTGCGACCTCTATATAGCAAACAATGCCTAATCGGTGACCATTGATCCCCCATGATCCCATTTTCCTTATAATTGAGAGCTGATTATTTTGATGAGATAACCACATGTCAGTGACCAAACAGGGAGGTCTAATCCCTCCTGGCCAAACTAGTGCAGTGGGGCTTTAATAAAAACAGATATATTAAATGAAAGTATTAATACTGACCAGTGCCCAATAAACTCAGTAGTACACCTGCTGCAACATTAATTCTGGCAATAAATATATAATATAGCTTCGATGGACTAGTAAAATTGTGTATATAGCAGGCTCAAGACTCATAGAATCAAGAAATACCTTCACTTTTGTCAAAGTTACCAAGCATATAATAGGTATGCATATTCATGATATCTTATGGCATAGAAACACAAATATGGGTAAGACTTGAAAAGTGTGAGTGTTTGTATAATAATATACAAACACTTCTCTCTTATTATAGTATGCAGTAAACATTTAAAGGCAAAACATAACACAAATGAAATGCTTAAAAAGAGATCATCAAAATGATCTTTCTCTCTCTTTCTTACTCATTTGTTTTCTTTTGCTGACATTCACTTGATTTTCAAATGAAATAAGCAGCTGCAAACAGGGTACAATTGCGTTTGAAACCTATATTACAAATCAATAAACAATACTTCTATACAGATACTACTTGTATGTCAAATATTGGCGAAGTGAGATGTTTTTTAGTATTTTCTTTCAAACTACTTCTCTTTCATAACATTTTATTTTCATTTTTTTCAATTGTTCTCTCTCTTTCTCTCTCTCTCTCTCTCTCTCTCTCTCTCTCTATATATCTCCCTCCCCCTGTCTGTCTCTCTGTCTTTCTCTAACACACACAAAAGAGTCACGAATGAAATATACTCCCTTGCCATTTCACTCCTTCTCTCCTTTTCATATCCCTTTTCTCTCCCTTAATGTCTCTCTCTCTCTCCGTATTCCCTATTTATAAATATACTAATTCTGTCTCATAGTGCCTCTTTCTTTTTCAGTGCTGTCTTTCCATCTCTATCAATAATTAATTCCTTTATCTCTGTGATATTCTGCTCACAATTACAAACTAAGTAGTCTTTCTTATAAAATATTAAACTAGAGAACTGTAATGTCTAATACTATTTCTTTCCCAGCTTTGGTCGCCAATAACCACCACCATTCCATTCCAATGGAGCTAACTTTGGACTGCATTAGACAACTATTAGCACATGGACGGTGTACATCTATAATATACTCTAAAGAATATAGCAATTCCAGGATGACGATCTACGGCAAATGGAGAGCTAAACCGTGTAGTTGGGCAACTTAAAATCTCCCGATCCCGCTCTCATTTTCCAGGCCACCAGTACAGCTACTAGCGAATGGAAACCAGCTGTTAAAAGGAATCGCCAGTAGAGTTTGTAGAGGGAGTAATTGCACACAATGACTAATACGCAGGCCAGAAGCTGGCGTAATGATCTCTGACCTAGCGACGTCCAGAGTTTAAAAGATTGGTAGTAGCTAAGTAGAGCAGCTATGATGAGTAGAGCCATGGCTTGGGCCACAATAACCTTTTCGTCTGGTTCGTACTGTAAAGATATGACCGAAAATACTTAATAGTGTGAGGGCAAAAACCATAACTTGGAGGTCTATGAAAAAGCTTTCCATTGATCCAAACATTGCTCCTGCCTGTTGCACTAAGCTTTATTTTGTCAAAAAATAAAAGGTTGGAGTTAGGGCTCTAACCCATTGCCTCCTGGAAACAAGTATTTCCTGTATTAAACCTGTAGGCAGAGATGCCAACCTCTTGACACAAAAAAACAGACTGAGTATCCTAAAAGATCAGATTTTGGAGAGAGGTCAGTAAAATTTCAGAAAAATATGATACTGGTAAATACGGTCAAGTAAAATGTTTGCTCTTTCATTAAAATTTTAAAGGAAAGTTGTAAAGCAAAGTTTTTGTTGGGGTTGCAGGGGTTTACTTGTACATGTTTCTATGTGATTCCATGGTTTTTATGGGTATACAAAAAATATTTAAAAAATACAAAAATTTTAATTTTTTTTTTTGTATTTTAAGAGGTGATATCGTATTATCGTATTCCACTCTTATTATCGTACTAAATACGATTAAATCATACTGGTTGGCATCTCTGTGTAGGGAATATAAGAATTCATTAGTTAACAGGTTAATTGGGCTTTAGATTAGGTTTGCTTTCTTGGCTAGGTCTCGATTTTCTGCTATGTCCCAGTTGCCCCTAGTGAGGAGTTAGCTCGGGTCCCAGTAGATCTAAACTGGTGAAAACATATCTGATATACTTACTGGTGAAGTGCCAAATGTTAAAACAGCCATTATCCTGGCAAGATTTAAAGTCCCGCACAGTACGGAGAGGAAGACAAGTAGTTTAGCCATCCAGTCGAGTCTGGAAAATGGTCTCCGGAAATCTGAGGGAAATGATAGGGAAAAAAAGTGAATATGCCAAAAGTGAATAATAACAAAGACACTTAGTTCTTGTATAATTGAGATAACATTCACCAATTGATATCTCTATGCCAGGGTCGGAAGAAAATTGAAGTTACTTCAATTTTTACTTTTATTTTTTAAATTTTTTTTTTAAAGGTTTGCTTTGTAAATAACAAAAACTTGCCAACTGTATGAGAATACATTAGAAATATATTAACAGGAATCATAACAAAAGCACTAAGATTTAATTACCGGTAGTAGACTGGCGATAATGTAGTGTTTATCCTAAAACAGGATTGCATTTGTAGGCATACATGCATATGTGCATCCACCCATCAACTTATACAATACTAGTAGTATATTTGATACTAACAGAATGCTAACGATGTAATATCCTCCTTCAGAAAAAGGCAACTTGAACAGTTCATGCAAACTTACTAATAATATTGTGTACATCCTAGATCAAAACAGGATTGTAGGCATACATGTGCATCCACCCCGCAACTTATACTATTGTATAACATACAATGTCATACTTTAGAAATTCTGATGATGTAGTATACTCCTTCAGAAAACAGCAACTTGAACAAAAAGTATAAGGTTTGATGATTAACTTACTAATAGTGTACATTATACCCTAACAAAAAAGGATTGTATACCTGTGCCCTAGCATCTGCCAACCAACTAATACAATAGTATAATGATTTGATTTAAACAAATTATATTGACGTACATGTAGTCTTCTGCTTCAGAAAAAGAGAGCAGATTTAACAATATAGTATAAGATTTAATTTTAATCTAAAGTACTGCACATGTATGTTTATCCTTTTAAAAAAACAGGATTGCAGGCATATGTGTGCCTGTTCTATTCAACTTTAATACAATAGTAGATGATTTGATAATTAAACAAAAATAATAATAATAATAATAATAATAGTGGGTTCTTGTATAATGATGAAGTATACTCCTTCAGAAAATAATGACTTGAACAATTTAGATGTAATATTGCAAACTTACTAATAATGATGTGTACGTATATCCTAGATAAAAACAGGATTGTAGCATACGTGTGCATCCACCCAGCAACTTATTCAATACTGAACCCTTGTACTTGAATTGTATGATTGAATATTCTGAAATATGCAAATGATAATAACCACCAGAACACAATCACAAACACACATACACCACACACTGTAATGATACTACCCTACCAGCAATCATGTATTTCTCAAATTGTATTGATACAAGTGTAATCTTGATATTGATAATTGGTTTGAGAGTCATTGGTTTCTTTCCCAGCTGTGCAAATTGGTACAGGCACAAGTACAACCATGCATACTCTAGATGTGATGCGAGCAAGCAATTAGGGCTCGTCTATTGTACATGTACATGTATTACATTTCTTTTTTCCAATTATAGATGAAATTATTATTTGAAGAATTGTTATTATGGTCCTACTATTATCTAAGTATTATATCTAAGCCGAAAATTAAGTAAAGAAAGGTTATTTTTGACAAAAGTAATGAATTGAGGGGCGCAATGGCTCAGTGGTAGAGCAGTGGCCTTGTTACCAGTAGGTCTTGGGTTCTAAACCAAGTCAAGGTGCCTGTGCCCTTTGACAGGGTTCCACAGTCCACACTAACTTTTTGGAAGGGGTCTGGATTGATATTGTTAGAGTTTGTAATATGTATGAGCCCTATGTAAAAAGTTCAAAAAGATGTGGGTTAGACTTAGATTCTGAGTGCCTGTTACTGTCGATCCCTGCCTTTGGTAAGGCAATAATCCTCATCATCAAATACGTCAGTGAGGACTTAAAGCTGTCAGTCCCCTAGTTGGATACTTTATATAAGCATGTGCATGCTTTCTTAGCAGCCGGGTAAAATAAACATCAATCATCATATCATTCAAATTATAATATACTCTTATACCTCTCACCCTCCCTACCCCTAACTTTCTCCTCTTGTCTTCTTCATAAAGCCCCTCCCTCTTCTCTATCTGTTTCTTCTCTTTTTCTATCTATCTATCTATCTATCTATCTCTCTCTATCTCTCTCTCTCTCTCTCTTTCTCTATCTCTCTCTCTTTCACTTCATCTCTCCCTCTCCCCCTCTCTTTATTGACCTCCACCTCTTCTCATGCTTATATATCTCTTCTGCATACACTTTACTGTACATATCAATGTATCTCTCCAATTGATCTCAAGTATCTTTATGTACATAATTATATACACAGGTGAAACAAACATGCCGCCATCATCTATTATTCATGCATTACTTTTACGCTGTAAAATAGGTGGGATTGGGGTAAAATAGAAATTAAAAATCCTACTGGTGATTACATGCCTGACTAACCTTTGCATATTGATTGATTGATTAAATGATTTTACTGAGTATATTCCATTCTTGCACTCTGAAGACTGAAGTGTACAATAGGTAAAATTTCACGGTAAACTTGAGGAATTTTTGCTCAATTTATTGCGAAAGGTGATTTCACAAGTGATTGTCCTCATATTGGGTTTTTCCTCAAAATCCCACATTTATTGCAGTGTAGGCCTACATTAACTGCTCCTTGTTCCAAACAATTTATATCGAAATGCTCCACATATGTATTGAACACTGTTTATATATATGAATGTTGAACTGGACAGTAATTGTAAGCCACAAACAATAATGGCCTAAACGTGATCTGCATAACATATAAAATCAACCCCCACACCCCCCCCCCCAAGCTATATCCAGCATTATATCTGTGATTTTTTAAGCGTTATTGTAATTTATGTTTTTAGCACTTCTACATGTTAATAATAATCTATTATTATCATCCAAGCAGCTTACAAATACTACGCCCATTGTCAGTTCAAAAGAGATAGCTATCAAAGCCACACACAGCCCATATCCACAATCAATTTCTATGACTTTCCAGGGGGGTGTTTCATAAAGCTGTTCGTAAAGTTTCGCATGACTTTAAGAACAGCTTGTATATAGAAAGCCAAATGGGATGCTCAATCATTATTAAATACATCAACTAATGTTTAAATGTGCAGATGTAGATTAACATTCTTACGATAACAAACATTTTTAATGCAAAGTATATCTTTTGCCATAATTTAATTTAAGGTTATTGAAAATATCAGAAAAAACTTTGGGCATCTCATCTGGCACTTCATATACAAGTCTTTCGTAAAGTCATGCGTAACTTTACGAACAGCTTTATGAAACACCCCCAGGGGATTTAAGTTTTCCATGACCATGAGAACCCTGCCTTGGTCCAAAGGAGTCTTAAGTTTCTGCTGTCTTTGAAACAATAGAATGGCTTGCTACTTAGTACAAGCCCAAGGGAAACACAAAAAGTGGGTTTTGTAGACAGGTGGTCTCTGTAGACAGGTTCCTTTAGTACATATTTCAATGAGAAACCATCTTCAAGGGAAGCAAAAAAAGTGGTCTTTGTAAGTTTGTAGACAGGTTCCTTTAGTACATGTTTCAATGAGACACCATTTTCAAGGGAAACAATAAGTGGTCTTTGTAGACAGGTGGTCACTAAAGCAGGTTTGACTATACTTACTTGTTGGTTTAGGTATATCCTCAGTATCACTCAAATTTACAGCTTGCCAAGTTGGAATATGATGAGTGCTGATTCCATTGACGTTTCTTCTCCCTGTAGGTTCAAGATCATCGATGCTGATTCTGTACGGCGGACGGAGTTTGACCTCTAAGGTCATGTCAGAATATTTCTGTCTAGCATTGAGGGTCATCGGATTGTTGTATCTCTGTTTTGTCTTTTGTATGATGCGATCTTAAATGGAAAGAGATTGAGTAAATTAATGTAAATCTTCTTCAATGCATGAAGCAAAGTAGCAAACAATTATCAGTCGAGGGTTCAGTGACACAAAGACGTAACTCTGTATTTTGCCAAAAGGAGTATTTGATATCAAAATGTTCAGAAAAATGTGGGCTTTCCAGAATACACAAAGACTTTACTCCACCCAACACCTCATTGAAGTCAATGGCCGGTGAAACATAGACTTAACTCCTTAAGGTCGAAGTGGACCTCTATCTTTAAACCACTTCTTCTCAAAATGGCCAAAATGGAGATACATCTTTGTGTCGCTGACCCCTCGCAGTCTTATCAGTCTTATTGCAGGGTGGGGAGGGTGCGCATGGAACAAAGTGAAATAGTTTGTAATTGTATCACTTTTCACTTACTTTGCATCATATTGTTCATATAGCATATTGTTTATCAATCTACTTATATCCCTCAAATTAGTGATACCCATATTTTTGTAGGCCTGTCATGACAACAAATTTTACAATGAAGAGCTCCTGCAATATTCATTGACAACATGTTTTCAATTTTCACAACTGGTCTAAAAAACAAAAAATTATGGGTTGTATTTTCCACAGCTAAGATATAAACAAAATCACAATGGACTTGTACTGCTGAACATAGAATGCCACAGTTTGAAACTAAATTGTTAGGGGTACCACTGCGTAATGGAATGGGCATGCCCACATATCTTATTCAAGACCAGGTAAAAGAAACATTGGGGGTAATAGCGCACTGTAAAATGCTCAGATTGGTTACTTATAATGGAAATATACTACAGTATAATACATGCCTGGTATAATAGAGAAAGAGTATTCTTCTAAATGATCTTTTGTACTTATTAATTACTAGTTATTAATCATTACTAGAATTTATAACCAAAAAAAATTAGTAGTAATATATGTATTTTTTTTTTTCTCAGACTGTCTTCACTTACCAAAATCAATGAGAGCATAAGGTCTGACGGCGTTATCCACCCTTTTATTGTCGTAGAGTGAGATAAACTCCCTCTGTAGCTCATCAAGGAAGCAGAATGCTAGAACGCTAGAGTAGCTCTCCTCACACATCGTGATGAAGCAAACACCCAGAGATGAAATAAAACTGTCAACAACAAAAGGGAAATGAACAAAGTTAATTTCATACATTCTAGCTATACAAAACTTATTTTTGTAGGTGATTTGTAGACTTTAACTTGCAAGTTACATACAGAGAGTAAAATATATTTTGTCTCAAACAAACAATTTGGAAGGGTTCCACACCACTGTCGTTGCTCTTGTATATTTTTTCTTTTTTTCTTCATTTTCTTCATTTCCATTTTCAATAAAAACAATACAAAGGCATTTGCAATATATAAGAAAATGAAAATAGGTAACTAAAAATTAAGGCCAAATGGCCTTGTGGAGGCATAGTTCCCCGAACAGTACTAGTTAAGAGATTTACATATACAAACAAAACTAAAAAAGAAACATACATGATAAAACATGACAGGGACATCATTAATTTAAAGACATATTCACTTTTGAATGCATATGCACACCCCAATCTATGAGTTATTGCTTTAAAATTGCAGTTGTCTACATTCTTTGTGCAACAAAAGATACCGATTAGTACAAGTAATTTAAAAGGGGAAAAAAATGCTACTTAGTACTTACTATAACCAATGGCTACCCGTGAACATGGAGCATCTGTCTGGGAATTGAGAGGCTTTCTTGGAGATAATCTTGGCGTATTTCTTGCTCTCTAAAACCCTCTGACTTGGGTCATGGTCCGTGGTCGCTGACAACGGCAGACCATCCCGGAGACGAGTGATCATGGCAAACAAGACGTTTCCGCTCATGATGGCTGGAGGTCCTTTAAAGCTAAGCTGCACAAAAAGTGATGAAAGTACAATATGCAAGATTGAATTTGGACTAACACTTCACTTGAATTTTATTCCCCTAATCAGCTAATGTCTGATCTCATCTTAATCATTTTAAAAATTGTATTCTAGAGAGTAATCGCTAATCGTACTAAAAATTTAATTAAAATTTGGGTTTCAAAATGTCATTTTCCAAAAAAAAGGTTGTGGTGTCAATTGAACATTTTTTTCTTCTAATTTTCTATGTCTGCGCACTCATTCACTTTATGTTATTGACTTGAAAGATCACTTTTCAAATTTTGAGGCTTGTGGATAAAATTACTTAAATTAAACTTTTTCTCATTATCATTTTCTCATTAATCACTAAATTAGAAACAAAGATTTTATTATGTGTTTTGTTGTGTTAGAACTATGCAGTTACAAATATATGCGCAGACAAGCACTCCTTCAATTATGCAAGGGCACCAAGCAAACTAACTCCGGGAAGCTCCAACACCGGCGCCGCAGGCGTCGGAGCTTCGGGTGGTTTTGTTGGTTTCTCGTGGGGGCTAGTAAAACAGCCGATTGGGTGATATATTATCGTTAAATCTGCAAAGGGAGTACTTACAATTTTTACATCATAGAGTGCACGACTCCTCAGGGCTCAACTCCAATCACTTGAATGTATAATTTGAAGAAGTCTTCGATGGGAAAAAAAGGTTAATTCGGGGTACTACACCAACGATTCTTCCATGTCGCAGCGTTGATTCAAAATAGGGATGAGAAGGTACGCATGCGCGGCAGTGGCAAAGAAAATATGAATACTCATGCTATCGAGCGCCGATCGCTCGAAATCGCTAAATATGCACGACTCGATCAAACAGAGCCCTTCTCAACGTCGTGCATATTCAGCGATTTCGAGCGATCGGCGCTCGATAGCATGAGTATTCATATTTTCTTCGCCACTGCCGCGCATGCGTACCTTCTCATCCCTATTTTGAATCAACGCTGCGACATGGAAGAATCGTTGGTGTAGTACCCCGAATTAACCTTTTTTTCCCATCGAAGACTTCTTCAAATTATACATTCAAGTGATTGGAGTTGAGCCCTGAGGAGTCGTGCACTCTATGATGTAAAAATTGTAAGTACTCCCTTTGCAGATTTAACGATAAAATCACCCAATCGGCTGTTTTACTAGCCCCCACGAGACACCAACGAAACCACCCGAAGCTCCGACGCCTGCGGCGCCGGTGTTGGAGCTTCCTGGAGTTACAAGCAAACATGGGCTAAAAATATTCTTCTTCTTCAGGATAATCTGCCTCCTTCACTGCTGAAGATTCTTGCAGATGTCCAAGTGCATGTGTGTGGCGGTATAGGGATGCCCAGGTGTGCAGGTTGAAGGTAGCCTAGCCGGGAGGGAGGCATACATTGTATGCTATCATTCTTCTTCTTCTTCTTCTTCTCTCTCTCTTAATTATTTCCTCATCATGCTCATTGATCTTATTCTCGTCATTCTTCCAGTTCCACTTCAATCGTCACTAAACGCTAAAGTACCGATTTTTAGTGAAATTGGTTGAGTTTTGTACAGTGGTGTTTGAAATGTTGAAAATCAATAGCACAGCTTTTAATACACTAGCCAGGATAGCTAATGCACCTCCTAACCTAGACTACGTGTACTGTTATTCATTAGTGTTAATCCGCTCCGCCTCGAATAACAATAAAAATACAACACAAATACTAACATATGGGACTTGCAAAACTTTCTCAAAGTTTTTTAATTGCAACAGAATTCCTTGGCTTTGTGTGTACAGCATCAATAAAACCTAAATGATATCAATCATACCTGTTCCAATATTTGAAGAGGCCATCTGCTTAGAAATCAAACCCCGATATCGAAGAGATAACTGGGTACATACGATTGGTATTCTTATGAAATAATGTAGTCTGCCTCCGGAAATTTGAACACGTCATTAACGACGCGTGATGAAAGAGCGCCCTCTTGTATAATAGCCATGAGATTATAGAGCGTCAATTTTTTTTAACTAAAGATGCTGGAGGAATTTTGATATTTCATAATAATGCAACCGTAGGTATATCTGAATTAGTATTACCAGCATTTTATAGAGACATGCTGGATGTTTGGATGGCTACGAGAATATTTTTGTTAAAGGGAAGTGTTTCTAGGAGGAATGAGATTATCTATAATAATAGATTTGTTTTTATCGATGGTCATGTTCCTTTCGATGAGGGATTATTTAACAAAAATGTTTATAAGTTGCATCATATTGTTGATTAGGAAGGTAATATAAAATCTAATGAGGAATTTCAAAGAAAAGGTTTAAATAGTTTAGAAATTAGTAAAATATAACGTATTTTTCTTGGCATCCCGTCTTCATGGAAACAATTTTTAAATAAAAATACTCACTCAAATATAGATAGGGAATTATAGATATATGTTTGAAAAGGTATTATGTTAGATCAAATAACCTCAAAAATTATATACGCTTTTTTATTAAATAAGAGAGTAGAAAAATCATATGCAGAACGACATTTAGAACAGACTTATAATATTCATGGAAAAGATATACAATTAATATTTTTAAGACTTAGAAAGTGCACATTGAATAGTAAGCTTAGAGAATTTCAATTTAAAATGCTTTATAATATTATATATACTAAATTACATTTATATACATTTAAAATGGTTAATAGTAATTTATGTTCTTTTTGTGGTAAATATGAAGAAACTTACGAGCATTTATTTTGTCTTTGTGAGAAAGTAAAACCAATTTGGGAAGAGTGTGGGAATTTATTTAATTTAGTAGAGATTACAAATATAAATTGGAAAGGTATCCATGTAGGGATAGTTGAGTTTAACATAGGGAAGGAACAGTTATTAAATCATATCATAATTTTGATAAAATATATGATATTTATAGCTAGTAAAAATAGACAAAAACCACCAAATTATTTGGAGATTAAGAAAAGATTATTAGAAAATAGAAAGGAGGAGAAGAAAGTGGGACAATTTAGAATAGCTTCGTGCACAATAAATAAATAAGGAAGGCGAATAGAAGCAATGAAATGGACATGGCTAATATAATAGTCGAGATTCCCACAAAATGTAGGCATGTTTTAAGTGGGTGTTTGTGTGGGTGTCTGTGCACGTGTGTGTATGTGTGTATGTATTTTTGTTTTATTTTTCATTTTTTACTTAAATAGTTTTATGTTCATGCCTTCTTCATGCTTTATTTGATGTAAATTGGGATAGAGCAACGTCGATCTGGCGCTGCTCAGTGGCTGCCGGGCTCACGATCAATTGGGCAAAAAGAATTTCCGTTTCGGTTTAATAAAATTTGGAGTGGACTTATTAGGCTATTATTATTATTATTATTATTATTATATAATAGTTTTTTTATAAATATTTTTTTAATGCCTTTTTATGTTCATGCCTTCTTTATGCATGCATGTTTCATGCTTTATTTGATGTAAATAGTAAAAGTTCTTTTGTATTATTTAGCTGTGAATGTAAAATCATATTCTATATAATAATATTAACATGCAGATTATTTTATGTATTGATTTTGTTATTGTTTGTTATTATAATTTTTGTTATTGTTTGTGAAAAGCAATGGAGAAAATAAAATATTGAAAAAAATAAAAAAATAAAAAATAGAGCTAGAGACCCAAAAGTTTAAATGAAGGAGTAGGAGAAGAAGAGAAGAAAATGAGGAATAAGGACGAGAAGAAGAAGGAGAAAAAGAAAAAGAAGGAGATAAAGAAAAAGAAGGATAAAAATAAAAAGAAGGAGAAAAAGAAGAAAAAGGAGGAGAACAGAAGAAAATGTCCAATTAATAGTAATAATAGTTCACCCCTTCCCTCTATCTCTCTGATCTCTCTTTCATTCCATCTGTCTCGCAATGAACCTATCTTCTATAAACCAAATCTCTACCACTCTCTATTCCAATTGTCTTTGCCCTCTCTCTCTCTCTCTCTCTCTCTCTCTCTCTCTCTCTCCCTCTTCCTGCTGTCTCTACAGTTCTGAAAACTTTGTAATGTAACAATTAGTCTACATTTAATCAACATAATTATGTAACACACTTGGCATAAATTTTGAGGTGAATGAGATAAAGCATAGCAATCTACTGTCAACAAATTGAATGAAGATAGAGTGCTGGATCAGTCCAGAGAAAAAGCTGACATTAAACAAAATTGTCTTATTGATTCATGCATATTTATTTATTCTTGATTAAAAACACATTTACTGTTAATAAAAAACAGGCAAACCCAGTCATAACAAAATTTGCTTCATATAGAGGCACAGCATCATTACAAACTATTTCTTTTTTTCTTCAAATGTGGCTGTATTTGACGATTTCACTTAAACAGTGGAACCTTGTATTAGAAAACAATGCTATAACAAACTCTCATTTATATCTACCGGTATAGCAAAGTCAGAATACCGCCCTGCATCTTTGTATTTCATTGTTTGTTTGATTGTCGTTTGCTTGTTTGTTTGTTAGTTAGCCCTGATATAGCAAGGGTTCATTCAACAACTGAACCCTTGTTATATGTTCGTATAACAAAGTAATCATCTCTGGTCCCAAAGACCAAGGTTCCACTATATTATGAAGACTAAGAGTCGGTTTTAACATACCGTACTCTTATTTAACAGGGTTTGCCTGTACAGATACACTGAGCAGTCAGTGGTGCAGTTTCACAAGACGTTGCACTCTTCGGAATTGCAATCAAGCATTTTGGTTATTCAAACATATTCAATTTGCACATAAATCAAGATAACATTTTAATACATTTCCTCTCCCAATCGACTTCAAATAATTATTCCAAATAGAACAGCATAAGAACTTACTAACAGATCATATTAACGCTTAGAATATAATTCTATCAAAACAATTCCGCTAAAATATGACTCGTTTGAATAGGGATCCATACAAAACAGTGAAGAATAAAAATGTCTACAAGATTATTACATTGGCCAATGAATGATGTTAATTGTTAATTGCTTAAAATATCATTGTAAAAATCTTTATACATGTATTATATTAATTATATCCAAATTGCACACAATGGAAAGGATGTAGACATCATCAGCTGAGAGCCTTCATATTCAAAGGTTCAACAGAGCAAAAAATGGCGCCTATTTGGCAGTTTTTTATGAACAATGCCACAACATACATGTATATCCCTTTTTTTATTAGGGCGGTTACAGAGGATCGAGTCCAGACGGAGTGTCGACCCAAAAGCTAATAATGGTATCACCATCACTTTGATCTGAACCCGAAGCAGATTGAGATATCTCCTTAAAACTGCGATGTATTCTCTAATCAAGACAAGTATATCTCATCTTCTGCTGATGTTACGGTTGTAACATTTTAATTTTTTAAACTTAGGAATTACTTTTTGTAGTTGATTTCTTTTCTCTAGGTTTATGACATAATAAGTATTTCTTTCACCATTTTCAATCAATTAGCTTCGCACTTTCGGTTTTGTTCTCATAAAAATGTTATGACTGGGTAGTGGGGAAAACGGCAGAAAACATGTGCGCAACCATGTATTACAAAGAAGCACATTCGTAGCAGATGTGGCATGAACGAACTTCTGACATGATCAAACTGGTTTAAATCAGGGCTACATCCTCTAGGGTCAATTGTAGGTGATAACATTCACACCCAAGAACTGTAAGATAAGTCTACAATAAGATATTTGTTCTTTTTTAAGAGAATGAACCAAATAATAATAATCTAAAATCAAATGTGGTGACAAGCATTGGTCCCATCTTAACTGCTGAAACACAAGTTACAAAGATATATTGTTAGATAGATACAAATACCAAATTGGATATAAAACAATTCCAGTGACATTTCATTGCATTAATATATAATTTTAGGCTTCTACCAACCATAAAATTCTGTTTCCTGATCAAATAGTAAGAAACGGAATGAAGAATCATGTGGCTTGAGAAAGTCACACAGGGGAGAATGAAAGCTTGCCTACTAAATTTTTGTTTTGTTTGGTTTGGTTTGTTTTAACCGACTGCTAAGAAAGCATGAGTACATGCCCGTAAGTAAGAAGCCAGGGGATTGACGTCGTTAAGTCCTCCCCGAGCGAGGGACTTGTTAATGATGATTAGTGCCTTAGCAAAGGACATTGGTGCAGCAAATTATTATCGTACCTGGAACCTCCCGGTTACAAGACTCCTGCTTACCAGTGAGCTATCACGCCACCTCAGGTTGGTAGAAGCCTCAATTACATGGTATGATCACCCTAACCAATGAAAGTTTACTGATTCATTTCATTGCATATTTCTCAAAAATTATCCGCTTAAGTATGAATAAGACCTAATATCTATCTATCTACTTCATGCCGCAGGACGTCTTGAGTTGTCCCACTAACTCTATATATTCCTTCTCGGCATCCGCGGTGGACTTGCCTGTAGTCAAGAATGAAAGAAGTAAAGAGAACAGCATCTGAAAGATTTGTTTTGTTTAATGATGTTTAGCAGTAATGTTTGTGCACACCTTACCTGCAGAGAGCCAGCTGGTTATGTATTCAGCTAGCTGCATAATGCCTGGGATTCCTGGTATTGTGCATACCAGTAGTAAATACATGATCAGCTTGCTTTGTGCACAAAAATTACTGCGGAACAAGTTTCAAAGGAATAGGATACAAGTGTCGTGGTCGAGTGGATATGTCACCGGACTGTCGATCACAAGGTCCGCAGTTCGAGTCCCGCCGCGGCACTAAGGTCCTTTTGCAAGACATTGATCTACATTTGCCACACTCAACCCAGGTGATGTAAATGGGTACCTGGCAGGAATTAATTCCTTGAAATGCTAGAGCGCCGTATGGCAGCCGTGCTAAAGCCAGGTTAATAATTGGGAGCGCCAGGAGTGTCACGTATGACAGACATGAGCACTATACAAGAACCTACTATTATTATTATTATTATTATGATAACAGCAGGTTGAGTTCTGGTGAAGAAAATCAAAATAGTTATGAGCTTTTAATGGCTATAATGTGACATGCTGAATGTAGATGTGTGTATTAAAGCATACTACTGTAGCATGTTTAAAATGTAGTTGGCATGGTGAGTGTACTGAAACTGGTTTGTGTTGAGTGTACCATCATCTTCTACTTAGACGATGAAATTAACAGGTTTTCCACTGCTGTGACTGAATATTCTGTGTAACTTAACCCAAATTAACCTTCTGAATTTTGACTTGGCCACATACATTACTACAGGAAATGCATAGGGAAAAATTGGGAGGATTTGGCCAAAATTCAACTGGTCAACTTTAAACAGCTACAGCCCCAAAAACAACAGCCCGACAAACAATTAGGTCTTCTAGTTTTTTTGAGGGTTCACTAGATTAACGGCCTAAGAGACAGAAAATTTTGATCTCATGAACCTTCTCTCCATTACTTACAGGGTTTACCAGACTAATGGCCCACAGGAGTGACAGGACAGACACTTATCTTTCTTCCCCTATGGATTTTTTTGTTTTGTTTGTCTACTGGGCTGTCGGTCTACTGGGATGATAGAGAATTAAGCGAGGTCGACAATATTTAAAATGAACCAAATGAAAAGTGAATGATGAAGCCTTACCTTTGAGTCCATTCCAGGCATCCCATTTAGCTTTGCCCTTGTAGTCCAACATTCCTGGGCGATCTGTTGGGGAAAAATAGGCAACAGATGAAATCATTATCATTATAACTCTCACCACCATCATCATCATCATCACCACCAACATCATTATCATTATTATCATCATAACAAGTCAACGCAAAGCGTAGCACCCCCTCGCAAGGTACAATGGCCTATATTCAGCATTTCTTGCATATTCCAGATTCCCCATGGCAAAACTAAAGTAACTCTCGGGGACCATGCTTTTGCTGCCCCCAAACTATGCAATAGCTTACCAATAGAAATACGAAGCACTCCATCTCTCAACGTCTTCAAATCCAAATTAAAAACATATTTGTTTAATTGAGATATCCTATTTTGTAGAATTTAGTAAAAAAAGGAGCTCTTAACCAGCGCAGCTGAATATATTTTGCATAAGAGCTGTGCTATATAAATTTATTATTAATATTATATTCAACGAGCTGTGTGACCTTTGACCATTGACGTACATACTCAACAACATTACTTACGCTGTCGAATGAAAACCACATTTTCGCATATATAATTAGGTATTTTTGCATACTTAATGAGCCTAAGACCTCAGACCTACATACTCTGATATCGAACTTACGGTAGGTTGTATTTTGATATCATGTACCTTCATATTAAATTTCATTAAAATCCGTCAAACATTACTAAAGTTATCGAACGAAAAACACATTTTCGAAAACATAATTAGCTATTTTTGCATACATGTATGTAATGAGCCACGACCTTCGAGGGGATTGGTCCACAGTCCAGTGACTTATCCACTAGACCGCACCACCTCTAACCCTAAACCCAAACCCAACCTTAAACCTGATTGCTATCCTAACTCTAATAGTATACTACCAATAATGTTGTTTACCCAGGGAAGCCTCATCATCACCCCAGCCATTGACAGGTACCCATTTACACATAGGTGGAGAGTGACAAATGCTGGGTTGGGATTTGAACCCTCAGCCCTTGGATTGAGAGTCAAGTGAATGAACCACTATACCACAACAACTTGATCTACTTTTGACAAAATAAAGCATGGAGCTATTGTTGCTGGTGTCACAGGCGAGAATCTCTGGCACGTCAATCCTCTGCGCATACCTAGAGAGTTTTGTGCATCAGGGAAAAAAATTAATATTTATTTTTCGGGGGCTACTTTTCAAGCTTGCCTGCAAAAAAATAACACTCTAAAATTTGTTTTGCATTGAACTCTATGCAAATTCATGGGGGCTCTTTTCTGATTTTCGGGGGCTCTTATGGGCATTTCGGGGGCAACTTCGCCCTGAGCCCCTGGTATTTTTTTCGCTGCATGTTCAGATTTAGTCTCATTTCCTAAGCTCAGTTAAGACTGCCTTGGTGCATTTTCAACGACAAAGACAAGAAGAAACATGAATTATCAATTTGGTGTATTTGGTGTATCCACGTTTTTATCTGGACAATTGACACGGCCGGAGATTCACGCCTATGACACCCAAGCTAATGTTGGAGCACAACCTACCTGTATTGCAATCTCCAACTGTAACCTGTTTGAAGAGAGAGTAGATTTTCAGTAAATCCTCATTAGACGGAGAGGTAGCAAGATCCTTCACCTCTGCAGCTGCTGTATTGAATGCATCCTGCAAAGTTACAAAATTAGAGAGAAAACAAGTTTTACAAATTCATATACCAGATCTATTCTTTTCATATGGTTGACAGTACAAGCCCATTTATATACTGCACCAATCACCAAAAATACTTTCTTCCATGGCTCTGAAGTCTGAACGATATTTAACAAAAAATGAGTTTCAAGTATTACATTTTTTCATGTGATTGGTACAATTTTTGAACCCAAATACATATATTGATATTCAGTGCTAACTGTTTAATATTTGGTGAACTTGTTGTTACTTGTTGGCCTACATGTACATGATTTGCAACAAATTGCACTGATGAAACATTTTGCTAATTTTCTATTTTTGTAATGTATTGTTTGCTAGCACTACCTGAAGGCTGCCATTTTATGATAATGAATTTTCATCACTAAAGGCTATGCAGAGATGCCAACCTTCATCAACATAAAAAAAGAAGTATTCTTAAGAGGAAAAAACAGTATTTTTGAAAAATCTCTGAACCTAACATATTGCCCAAATGAGTACTGGTAGCTTTAAAAAAAAATGCGGTAACATGTATACGACCCCGGATCGGTGCATACAGTACACGTGGATTGTTCGCAATGTGCGTAGTTTGGGGCCCCGTATCACCGTCCTGCGTGCATCCTTTGAAGACATAGGTGCATAATACACATATGACACAAAGCCCATGATCGAAAATTAAGAAAAATGTCAATAAAAAAATAAAACAAATAAAACGTTAAAAAACGCACTGCCGTATTCATAGTAAAAAAACAGAACAAATACGGCAAAAAACGGACCAGTTGGCATCTCTGGCTATGGGTTCTCCCTTGTCAGCCATAGAGGCAAACCGCGTCCAAATCCGAATCTTATCTATCTGATTCAATCGCAGCAAACGCCTAGGTGTACTGCTAATGGATCTCGATCTGGTCAGGCTCGTCTCAGAATTGGACACTGGAATGCACGCTCCATGAACAACAAAACGACAATGATTTGTGACTTGATCATAAGCAACGACTTAGATCTTCTGATTGTGACCGAATCATGGCTGAGGGGAGGTCTTTATGATGATCCTATCATTGCAGACGTTGTAGCTACTTTGCCTGACTTTCATGTGGTACATGAACACCGCCAGAGTCGGGGTGGTGGTATATGCATCATATATCGCTCTTCTTTGAAAATCACTAGAGACTGCTCTACAAAATTCTCATCTTTTGAGCACATGGATATTCTGGTCCGCGTCTCTCCTTCTGTGGTTTTTAGGACATTTGCCATTTATAGGCCTCCCCCATCGTCTACAAACAAACTGACGTATGACAATTTTGTGGCAGATTTTCCGACACTGTTAGAATCTGTAACAATCGATCAGCATCAGCTTGTGCTCATGGGAGATTTCAACATCCATGTTGACGACGAAACTGACAGAGATGCTAGGAAATTCCTCGATATCTTAGACACATTTGATCTTCAGCAGCATGTAAAAGGTGCAACTCATCGAGCCGGTCATACCTTAGATCTCGTGATTTCCAGAAAGGTTGATCATCCTATTGTGGCCATGGACGTCGTACCAGGACTTCCTTCCGATCACTCGGCAGTCCTGACTACGCTCAATTTTGTAAGTCCAGCAACTTCCAAGAAGCGGATAACTTGTCGGAAACTTCGGGACATTGATGTGGTTCAGCTTAGGAATGACATACAAACCTCATTGCTTACACTTCCTACAGCCAAAGATGCATCTGACATGGCAGAACAATACAACATTGTACTAAAGGAGCTACTTGACAAGCATGCGCCTGAGCGATCAATACTTGTCACAATCAGACCAAAAGCTCCCTGGTACACCAATGAAGTTCGTGAGGCAAAACGATCTAAACGGCGTGCTGAGCGTAAATTGAAAAGTTCTGGTCTGGAAGTTGATCGTCAACTGTTCAAAGAGGAGTGTAAATCCTACAATGCAGTCTTATCTCAATCAAAATCTCGTTACTTGACCGACGAGATCGCGCAGTGTGACACCAAGCATCTTTTCCAGCTTGTTCAGACGCTTTCCCGCCCAAAGTCACAGCATGTTCTACCGGACCATGAGTCAGACATAAATCTGGCTAATGATTTTGGACAATTTTTCTACAACAAGATTCAAGACATCGTCACCAACCTTCAGGGGATTACTAGCCGCTCATCAGATTGTGAGGATGGAGTGACGACGCACAAACTCTCTTCTTTTGAACCTGTATCAGAATTGGAGGTGCAAAAGGTGATCCGTGAGAGTTCTTCTAAATCGTGCCGACTTGACCCAATACCAACTTGGCTCATGAAAGATTGTATTAATGAGCTTGTACCATTTGTAACTGAACTTGTTAATCTGTCCCTGTCTTCTGGAGAGGTACCTGCAGCGTACAAGACATCACACGTCACTCCTCTCTTGAAAAAAACATCTTTGGATCGAAATGAGTTTAAAAACTACAGACCGATCGCGAATCTTCCTTTCATCGCCAAGACTCTAGAGAGGATTGTAGCTGCTCAGCTCAGGACACACTTAGAAGACAATGGTTTATATCCTGTCATGCAATCCGCATACCGTCAGTTCCATTCGACAGAAACAGCCCTCTTGAAGGTTGCCAACGATCTCTTGTTAGCCATTGACAAAGGACTTGAAGCTATTCTTATTCTGCTAGACTTCTCGTCTGCGTTCGACACGATCGATCATAGCATGATGATACAACGTTTCTGTAATAAATATGGATTTGAGGGAGTCGTCCTGCAGTGGCTTGCCTCCTACTTGGAAAATCGATCTCAGGTCATCGTTCTCAATGGTGTCCAGTCCGAAGCATTTCCACTAACTTGGGGAGTACCACAAGGATCCGTTGTGGGACCGTTGGACTTTATACTCTACTCTGGTCCCCTCAGTGACGTCATAAGGTCCCATAAGGGTGTTGAACACATGATGTATGCCGACGACACACAAATGTATCTGATACTGAAGCAAAGTGAAATCGCCAGTGGGGTGGTGAGACTGGAGCAGTGCATCGCAGATGTGAAAGTCTGGGCTCGTGATAACAACCTCATGCTTAATGGTGCCAAGACAGAACTCATGCATATGACGTCAGCATTTCGAAAAGCCAGTGAGCTGCCAGATTTCGAAGTCGACTGCAATACAATCAATCCATCAAAATCGTCTACTAATCTCGGAGTCGGAGTGGATGACAAACTTACCATGAAGCAACATGTTCAGAAATCATGCAGAGCCGCTTCGTTTGGAATTTACCGGATCGGAAAACTCCGAAAGTACCTAGACCAAGGTTCTACTGGGCGCCTAATAAATGCATTTGTGACATCACACATTGATTACTGTAATAGCCTGTTGATAAATCTACCCAGCTCACATCTGACAAAACTCCAACACATCCAGAACACTGCAGCCCGTCTCCTCACACGCACAAGAAAGTACGAACACATAACACCTATTCTTCGTTCTCTTCACTGGCTCCCCATTCCACAGCGCATCCAATTCAAGGTACTGCTTCTCACCTACAAGGCCCGTAATGGACTTGCTCCAGTATACATCAATGGACTCATTTCACCAAAGGTGCAAACCTCCTCCATCAGGCTCCGCTCATCATCATCTGTTCATCTTCAACTATCATCTGGTCCTCGAACTCACACCCGC